TCACTACCTTTGGCAGCAGTACATCAACGATTGCCTTCGCTACTTGCATCACAACAACCCCCACGGTAGATTTGCCCACCCCAAACTGGTTCGCGACTGACCGGTAGCTGTCTGGCGTTGCAAGCTTCCAGAGGGCTATGGCCACTCGCTTCTGTACACTCAGTGCAGCTCGCAAGCGGGTGTCACTGCGCTTCAGGGCAGGGGACAGCAACTCACAAAGTTCCAGGAAAGTTCCCTTCCGCATGCGAAAGTTTCGCAGCCACTGGGATTCATCCCAGACCTGCAGCACTATGCGGTCCCACCACTCAGTTCTTGTTTCCCGTGCCCAGAATCGCCGTTCCACGGCATCAACATGACCCATTGCCACCGTGATGTCCTCGGCGCTGGGTCCCCTGCTTTTTGAGAGGTCTGTGCTACTCTCAGACTTCAGGACATCACCGCGGTGCCGTAGCCTCCTCGCCTGACTTTTCTGCATCTGCCTCAGGGAAACCTTTATGATAAACTGCGAGGCGTTGAGAGCGGCCACAACTGCAGTGATGGTCGCAGCGTGCTCCATGCTCGCAGTGCTGTGGCGTCCGCGCTGTCAATGACTGGAAAAGTGCGCGAACTGATTTCCCGCCGGCGCTTTCAGGGAGGGAGGGCGGGAGTGATTCATTTTGTTACCCAGAAGGCATTGCCGGCTACACCCAGAATTCCAATGGGCAGAGGGGACTGCGGGAACTGTGGGATAGCTGACCACAGCGCACCGCTTTGAATGTCGACGCTTTCACCGTTAGTGTGGATGCACAAAGTCGAATTACTGTCCTTAGTGTGGACACACACGTTCGACTTTGCAATATCGATTCCAAAAATTCGATGCAAGTAAAATCGAACTACTCTCGTAGTGTAGACAAGGCCGTAGACAAAGAATTGTTCATCTGCAAGCTTAATGACCTCTAAAACTGTAACTGTCAAAAAAGAGTTTCTGAGCTTTACTATATTAGTATAATCAATAATAAGAACAACACTATTGCAGCAAGAGAAGAGGGAGGGAGCAGAGATTCCCATGGTTCTGTTTTTGGTGCTCCCCAAAGGAAACTAGCACTGCTATCTGCAACACAGGCTCAGAACCTGGGAAGCAGACAAAGCTAAAATTCTGGATGTGGGGCCATTTTTCCCCATCAACAGTAATGACTGATCCTGTGCAACTTGTCTGATGTGTGATTGGATGGTTAAGTGCAGAATCAGCAATAACTGGAGGGAACTTTCTTCCGTGGAAAATTATATTAAGCAAAATCACAGCATCAGGCTAGAATTTCCCCCCAGCAAAGTCAATGAGAGTTTTACCCATTGACTTCAATGGGAGCAGAGCTGCACAGAACCACTCAGGCCCAAAAAGACAACAGCCTGCCCTTTGCACCATGTGACTGGCCACTGATAAGGCTCTGTATGACATCCTGAGACCTTATGGTGATGCCACAAGGTTCATCCCTGGGGACGATGCTCACATTAACTCAGTCACTCCAACCATCTGTTTGTTAGGGGGGAAAGCGACTAAGGCTGAGCAAAACAACAGGGAAAACACAACACAAGTCTAGGATGACACCCTAACCACTGGCCCATCCTTCCTCTCACTGGGCCATGCTTCCTCTCAGCACTGTTAGCAATTTCATAGTTAGGCTTGTGTCGAGATTTGCACTTAAAGCTCTATTTCACGGGTTAATTCCTGAATTTAGCTTTCACCTTTGGCACAACAACTCTCGCAAGGACAATTGAGTTTTCTAGGTCATTTCCTGGATGAAATACTTTTCCCTTTTCCTACATAAATATTTAAAAGTCGCCATTTCTGTTTTAATTTAGCATTTGTTGTCCCACTTTTTTGGCTCCAGAGAATACCACAGACTCTTCAAACCTTCCAAGTAGTTATATGTTACTGACAACTTGACAGCATGCTACAGCTGAAGAAAGTAGGCTGGAATTAGGCTAAATTAGGAATTATTGTTGCATCTAATTGTTCTGCTTGCAGTTAGGAACAGGTCAAAAGTTCAGGTCATTTTTAAATGATATCATTGTGGCAGACGTAGCCAATCATCATGCAGCTTCTCCAGCTAATTTGCATGCTACAATCCTGTTGGTTGAGATGAGCCAACGGAACAAAGGGGACTGTATCCAGGTCAGGGGTTCTCAGTGGTAGATGATCTGTCCATACAGAACACTGGATTGGCCGTTTCACTGCTGTTAAATATCCCATGGCTGTGTGCATAGGCTTGTGACTCCTGCAGTGTGGGCAATTACCGTTGGAGAATAAGAGTCATAGGAGGTCAGCAACCCCCTTTCATAACAGCAAGAGGGAAGATGGGATCTATTCTGTGGCTTTCTTATCTTAGTTGGCACCTGGCTTTCAAATATTATATAGTGGCCTAAGAACAGCAAACCCTTAGTTATCAGCTGCCATAATAATGCAGAGAGGGAGATTTGCCAGTGAAGGTGCCATAGGAGCAAATCCACCCTTTTCTTTCCATCCCCAAAGCCAAACTGTCCTCCGTATAGCCCACTCCTGCAACCTCCTCCTCCGCTCTGGCCTCGCAAACACACGGGTCGCCCTCCCCACTTCGCTCCATCTGCTAACCTACCTCATCACCCTTGCCTATCAATTGCATCACGTCACTCCCCTCTTTGAATGCCAGCACAGGCTCCCCACCTGCCATCACATCAGATTTCAGCTGTTTCTCACTACCTGCAGCACTCTACAGATATGTTGGTCCCTTCCTACCCTTCCCTGTCATGCTTCACTTTCTACCTCCATCTCCTCCACTCTGTTCCCAGCCTCACCCACCTGGTTATGACCTCTCTGCCTTCTTCCAGCCGGCCCCCTAGGCACGGAACAGCCTCCCCAAACTCATCCACAAGTCCCCTGACATGGCCACATTTAAGCCCTCCTTAAAGATCCAACTTCTGCCGTGCTGCCTACAATTAATTGAATTTGTCAGCCATCTATTGTTCCCCTTCCTCTGACTACTGCCTCCTTTTCTGTCTTTCCTTAAGTTGTGGGCCCATCAAGGGCAAGGACCCAACTTTTGGGAATGTTTGGAAAGTGCCTAGCATGTGATGGGCCCTACAATAAGCAAATTATTATTAATAATATTAATATTGTTGGCCCTCTGCTGAATGGTGGCAGGCACCTGGGGCCTCACAGATCAGCTCCCCATTGGCAAGGAAATCAGTGATGTGGAGCCTGGGTATGTTCTGAGTATTTATTTTACACTATATACAAGGTCCTGGAACAGAGATGGTCACAAACAGCATGCAGACCAGCCTACCTATTAACATCTGATTTCCAGAGAGCAACTGTACCCTAAGAATTGACTCTAGTTAGGCTGCATCTACACTACAAGCTAGGGATGTGATTCTCAGCTCATATAGACATCCTTGCACTAGCACGATGAGAGCTAGCATGAGTATAAATAGGTAGTGTAGCCGCAGTAGCATGGGCAGCAGCAGCATGGGAGTACAAACCGGACTGAACTCCATGGCTAAACTATGCTGCCCCTGCTGCTACCACAGATACAGTTCTATTTATACCAGTGCTAGCTCTCATTGAGCTATCATGAGTACATGTACAGCAGCTGGGAATCACATCGCTAACTCGTAGTGCAGACATAACCTTAGAGAGATTAAGGCAGAGTGAACTCCTTTGCTGCTTGCAACTCCTCCCCCACATACACACCCAAAAAATAATCATATCAAAAAACTAACAATACAGCATTTCTTCAAAGACTGAACAGTGTTTTCATGTGATTTTAAAAAAAGAACTTATAAAACTATGTGTCACTTTTCCATCTGGCGAGTCTTACTATAACCATATCCTCTCGGGATTCTGAATAGAGCAGGAGAAAATTTTGGGACCCAACACTGTTTTTTGGCAAAAAAATGTGGATTTGGCAACACCACCAAAACATTTTGGAATTCGTGTCAGTTTCCCCAAATTGTTTTGGTCAAAAGAAAATTTGTTTTAATTCCAAAAAATTAAACATGTTTTGTTTCAACATCTTGAAAACTAAACCTTAATTTTTCAGTTGAAAACAACTTTGCATTTCTAAATTTCCTTTAAAAAGATTTTTAGCTATCAAAAATGATCAGCATTGAAATGAAACATTTTGATTTTGTCAAAACTAAATGTTTAGTTCAACCCAAAACTTTGTATTGTTTTTTCACTTTTCAATTCACCAAAAATTTGGAGATTTTTCGTTTCTGGTTTGCCCAAAATGATTTTTCCCCAATTTTTCTGAATTGCCAGTGAACCAAAATAAAATCCATTATTCACATAGCTCTAGATCTGAATGTATAAATGATCAGACATCAGACTCCTCCTAGCACTCTGATTCTCCCTTCATTTTATTCTGTGGTTCATTTCATCACAAAGGTTCTCTCAAGGACCCCCTTCCCTCTGGAACACCAATCCTTGCTTCTCCAAAGATTTCATTCAATGAACCATCAGGAAAGGCTCCATGAATCACAATCTGAGTGCCACTGTCATGCCATTTGTCATTAGAAAGATATATTTTCCTGAGATGTGCAGTAAAGACATGGGTTGGGCCTGTGATTCCCATGTCACTATAATTCAGCCAACCTTAATAATAGACCTATTATGAGTGGGTTTCTCCATTACATTCATATACAGTTTTGTTGTCATGGCCAGGGAGGGACGGGGGGCGTTATCTGGGAGTGTGTATTTAGTGAGTCCTGCAAGGGTCAGCCCTGGGTCTGGCACTATTAAATATTTTCATTAATGACTCAGATAATGAAGTGGAAATTATGCTTAAAAATTTGCAGATGACAACAAGCAGAGAAGGGTTGCAAGATTAGAGGACAAGATTAGAATTCAAAATGACCTTGACAAATTGGAGAATTGTTCTGAATTCAACATCGTGAAATGTAATAAAGACAAGTGCAAAGTACTGCACTTACGAAGGAAAAAAAACAAATGTACAATTACAACATAGGGAACAACTGGCTAGGTGGTCATACTGCTGTAAAGGATCTGTGGGTTATAGTGGATCACAAATTGAATATGAGTCAATAGTGTGATGCAGCTGTGAAAAAGGTGATAACTGTCCAGATCTACTCAGCACTGGTAAGGCCTCAGCTGGAGTCCTGTGTCCAATTCTGGGCACCACACTTTAGGAATGATGTGGACAAACTGGGGAGAGTCCAGAGGAGAGCAACAAAAATGGCAAAAGGTTTAGAAAATCCAACCTATGAGGAAAGATTGAAAAGACTGGTCATGTTTAGCCTTGAGAAAAAAGAACTGGGGGGAAACTTATCTTCAAATATGTTAAGAGCGGTTAGAGAGAGGATGGGGATCAATGTTCTCCATGTCCACAGAAGGTCAGACAAGAAGGGTTAATCTGCAGCAGGGAGATTTAGGTTAAATATTAGGAAAAAAACTTCATAACTATAAGGGTAATTAAGATCTAGAACAGGCTTCCAAAGGAAGTTGTGGAATCCCCATCATTGGAGGATTGTAAGAACAGATTGGACAACCACCTGTCAGGGATGGTCTAGGTTTACTTGGTCTTGCTTCAGAACAGGGTTCTGGACTTGCGGGGCTGGAAGGAACCTCCAAGAGTCATTTCTTTGATTCCATGATCTGCCATTAAATAACTGACTGATTCTTTTCAATAAGTTTGTTCTTAATATGGAACTGAATTACAGATCTCTCTGGGGTCACATTTGCAGCTGAAATGCAGGTAATACTACAGTTCAGTGTGGCTCCCCCACCTTTTCTGTGTACAGCCATCACCCAAGGGTAGCACTGTTGGACTGATGTCATTCGTTACCTCTTAATGTTTTGCTACAATATGCAAACTCTCTGGCACATGATGGCACTGAGAAAAGGGGAAGAGGGAACAATAACATTCTTTGGCTATACTGCGGTAGGGGTCACAGCATTTGTAAGTGGCTTCAGCATTTCCCATAACTAAGGCTAATTACCATCCGTATCATCCTGCTCATGCATTAAGAACTCAATAAGGCGCTGGCTGAAGGTACATTAATTACTTCAGATAGATCATACAAGCATGTCGTTATCATTCACTTACACACTCATGCACAAGAAACACAGCAGAGGGATTTTAGCTGGGAAACAGTCAGAAAGCTATTTTCTGCATTGATTTCACTACAGTGAATTAGATCATAGATCAAGTACATTTATGCAAAACTTATGTAAGTAGTTTCTGTGAAAAATTTCAAACAAAACAAAAATGTTTCATTTTGTTTGAAATTTTTCATTGAATTTTTCAATTTTCTGATTAAGCAAACTGGAACAAACATTTTCATTTGAAGCAGGAAATTTTCAGGTTTGTCCTCTCTCTCCCCTTTTTTCTTCCTTCTTCCAGTGGTAAAAAAGGAAGGAGAAAAAAATAACCCAACACACTGACTGCCAAAATGAAACGAAAAATTTGTAACCAAAACACTGAAAAACATTAAAGGAAATCAACATTTTTCGTGAGACTGTGTTTCCTTTCAAAAGCCATTTTTCATCAAAAAACATTTTCATGGAAAATGTTCTGCCAGCTCTGGTATAAAGGTTATCGGCACTCATTTGAGATGGTCTGCAGTGTTTGCTCATGGTTTCACCACTTGTTGGTAATAGAGCTATCCCAAACACACGGTGGTAAAATCATAAATATACCATCACGTGTACCTAGTCCATCACATCATCCTAATAATCCATCAAACCCTATAAGATAGGAGACACATTGGTCTAGTAGTTAAAGCAAATCAGACGGCATTCCTGAGCTGTATTCCTACCTCAGTTGCTAATTCACTGTGTGGCCTTGGGCAAATCACTTAACCATCCTGCGGTCTCAGATTACCCTGGTGTTAGATGGGGATAATATGTCTCTGCACACATCCTTGTCCTCAGAGAAAAGGCCATGTTATTGTTATTCGGCAGTGATCTCAGCAGCGTTAAGGCAAGCTACCTTCCCAAATGCATTGCCTGTGTCCCAATCAGACAAGCGCATCTCAGGTTGCTGCTGAGGTTCTGCACTCGAGTGCGAGGTTGATGAAGTTGAGGTATGTATCGCTTTTCAGTATCTGTCGGAGTGTGTCATTGACAGTGTTGTAGGCAATGGGAGATTGGCCCGTCACTTTTCATTTCCATGCTTTGGAGGTTTGGAGTTGGTGTCCTGATGCAGCCTTAGCTATCACTAAAAGTGTGATTAGAGAAACATGGCTCCAGCAACAGGGGACATGAACCCTATATCTTGCTCAATGGGATGATCCCACAGGATTCCAGCAGCATCCTCAACAGCCCATGCGGCTGGTGGCACACTGGGGACTCGGGGTCAACTGGATGCTTTGGATAATGGTGTGACAAATCTGGAGAAAACAACATCAGTTCCTAAAGGAGATCACTGAACACCCCCCACCTGCGTTGCTACACTAAGGATTCAGAGGGTGAGTCAAGAAATCAATACAAATCTCGAGTTTAGGAATAAGACCCCGCCCAGGGTGCATAAGACTCTTTCTCCTTTTACATTACTCCTCTTTAAACGCCTATGAGCTGGGATCTTAGCTGGCATTGCAAGCAATGCACTGAGAAAAATCCAGCCAGGCTCGGGAAGCAGTGGTGATGATTCAGTGCAGCACATGGCACCCTGCTCTCTGTCGTTACTGAACCCAGTGCCCCAGCACGACACTAGAGGGCGCCGTCTTTCAAATGGGATGTAAACCAGAAGTGCTGACCACTCCTGGTCATCAAAGATCCCCTGAGCACTTTTTGTAAGTGTAGGTGCCTCAGGTCCTGACCAAAATCACACAGATCTTGGGAGCTCCGGGGGCATTGCAGACTGAAATCTCTGTCCAGTGAACTGTAATAAAGGCAGCAGTGCTGGTAAGAGACTGATAGTTATTTCCTGGCCTTGGTCATATGGCATGAGTCAGGGGTGAGGATACCCTGATTCTTCATGACCAATATGGCTTCTGACAGTTTCTACCAGGTCAGGGGTTCTCAAAGTGGGGGTCGGGACCTCTCAGGGGGTCGCAAGGTTATTACATGGGGGTCGCGAGCTGTCAGCCTCCACCCCAAACCCCGCTTTGCCTCCAGCATTTATAATGGTGTTAAATATATAAAAAAGTGTTTTTAATGTATAAGGGGGGGGGTCACACTCAGAGGCTTGCTATGTGAAAGGGGTCACCAGTACAAAAGTCTGAGAACCCCTATACTAGGTCAAAGGAAGTATTCCCAATGCCTGTGTCATGCATCTGGGAAAACCCCTTCCCCACCTCACCAGCATCCCCCCAACCTGCATCCAAACACTGCAGAGCAATCACCAATTTAACATGGTGGGAGCTGGACTGAATCAAACAGCATGATCTTAAGTCACACACAGAGGTCTAGGAAACTAAAACAAATGTCCCCAGCTACAAATATTGTCTTGCCTCTCAGAGCCTTTAAAGCCATCACACCTTTGGACATCTCTGGAAAGATGGGAATCACAAGGAAGCCAAGGAGAGAGAGAAAATTATTTCACTGAGTGGAAGTTCCATACATTGATGGCTAGTGCTGGTTCTTCCCTCACAGGTTCTTGGCTTGGGTTGCAATTTCCT